CTATGAAACTACAGAAATTTAAATCCTCTCTGTTAGGTTTATGCTGGGTTTAAGAAATGCAAAGGTGAGACTTCAGGAGAGGAGGTTAAGATAAGATTAGAAGGAAAAAATCAAACAGAGGGTATTTAAATACCATACTACAAATGAGTAATATTTTCAGCCTTGTAAGAAGGCTTGCGAGATCTAAAGGAATAAGCAGAGCTGTGGATAAAAAGGAATTTAAAGCAGGAGAGGCGCTTTGGAGACGGCGGTGATAAAGGGTACCATTCAGAGTCATAACAACATGAGGCAAATAGCTTATACTCAGTGTGGTGGCTCTTAGATGAATTCATTCAATATTTCCCGTTTCTTTAAGAGGATATAAGAAAGTCATTTACTCTGTACTGAGCAGGAGACACCGTGTTCCAAAGTGGGGCTCTTAGCGCTCCAGCTCTAGGAAAGGAGGGCTCTCCGTCAAGGGGATGCTTTATTTAACTTTGTCTCCTTACCTGCCTCTAAATTCTGGATCCCTCCAGGGAAGCCAGATTGCTCCTGGGGCTGTTCACGCCTTGAGATGTTAACTGAAGTAGAGAGCGTGATGGCTCAAGGAAGTCTCATGATTCTGCCAGTCATTTGACGGTGGAGAAGAGGAGAGGGAGAGGGAGACAGAGCCTGCAAAGTTGCAAAGGGGCTTCATTCCACAGGGTTTTGAGTTAGGTAGACCTGAGGTTAAACTTCAGCTGTCTTTTGTTTATCAAAACTCTAGGCAAGTTACTGAAATTCTCTGAGCTTTATTCCTCCCCAGAGAATAGTATTTGTGCATTATAGATTGAGGACAGAATTTAAAATAATTCTGTATGCAGTGACCTTAATAGAGCCTGACACAGTAGAAACATTTGGGAAGTGGTAATTTAAAACCAAAGTAATAGGAATAGAACAGTGGCTGCTTCATGATCGATGGTCACACGATTTGGCCTTCTAAGAAACATAAATTTTGAGTTTAATTTTTGTTTTTACGTTTAACTAGGCAGTGGAAAAGAGGAGAAAGAATCTTGCAGTGAAGTTAGAAGGCTGGGTTTCTCTGCATGACCTTGGGCAAGTCATTAAACCTTGTGGGCTTTGGTGTTCCTATATTAGCTTCTTATTGCTGCTATAACAAGTTGCCTCCAACTTAGTATCTGAAAACAAAGTTAGTTTATTGTCGGACAGTTCTGTAGTTCAGAAGTCTGGCACAGGCCTCATTAGGCTACTAGCAAGGTGTTAGCAAGCCTGTGTTCCTTCTGGAGGGTCTAGGAGAGAATCCACTTCCTGGCCTTTTCCAGCTGCTGGAGACTGCCCACGTTCCTTGTCTTGTGCCTCTTTCTTCATCTTCAAAGCCAGCAACTGCTGGTGGAATCCTATCCCCATCACATGCCTCTGAGCCCCCTCTTCTGCCTCCCTCTTCCACTTTTAAGGACACCAAGGTAACCTGGGAACATCGCTGCATCTCAAGGGCAACTGATTAGCAACCTCAGTTCTGCAAGTCTAATTGCCCCTTGCCGAATAAGGTGACTGTGTTCACGTGTTCTGGGCATCAGGACATGGATATTCTTGGGTGGCTGTCATTCTGCCTACTACATTTATATCTGTTAAACAGAAGTAATGGCTAGTATTGTAGAAGTTATTTTAAACTAAAACATGTTGCCTTTCCATTTATTGGCTTAGCCTATTTAGCGCAAGGGCTTTTTTCTTTTATTCTGTATCTTTCTTATGTAAACCATGTGATTAACCCGTGTTGATAGTCCCCAGTTTCTTTTTTTTTTTATTAAGAGGGAATAAAAAATACTGTGAAGCAATGTGTGTAGACTATTTTTAGATACTTTAATGATTTTTCTCATTTTATATGGTTTTCTCACTCAAGCCTAGGTCAACTACCTTTCCAATTTCCAATCTAATTGTCACTGAAAAATTATTTTTCACTAATATTCACCAATTTATGTAACATATGTATGCCTTCAATAACATGGCATAAGCAATTACACTTGATCTTGGTTTGCATAGAATTTACCCAGCGGAAGCACAGGTGTTCAGGCAATCAGGCGATCCAGGGCCTAGTAAGCATCCGTCACAGTGTTTTACTGAAGCCATGGAGATTGTTGAGTTCGTTAAGCGGAGATTAATTAAAAGAGCTTCTAAGATAATAGACACTAATGTTATTGAATGCTTATTACATACCAGGCACCATGTGATATGTTTACCTGCACTGTATCTTTTAATTTTTATTACAACCCTTTGAGGAAAGTTCAACCTGATAAGAGAAGTAATTTCCCCAAAGCCAAGTAATGAGTAGGAATAAAGTTAGGATCTGAAGTCTGACTCTGCAGTTAATCACACCGTCTTACTCCCAGTCTGTTACCCAGTCTGTCGTACAAACCTCACGGGCTGCATGAAGGATTAAGGAGAACTCGTGCAGAAATGCCTGGAGGACCCAAGGCTTGGTCATGGTTGGTGTTTTATCCCATTTGGCTGATTCAAATCTAAGGATTTAGCTTAATAATTATCAACCAGAAGCAATCAGTTGTGAAGCATGGGCTATCAGTGAAGTCCTGTGCCTGGAAGTGTTAAGATTTACAAAAAGACATAATAGACTACATATAATAATAGCTATGAGGTATTGAGCACCCATTCTGTTCCAGACCCTGGGTTAAGCTCTAGCATACGTTATCTCCTTCAATCCATGCCCGTAACCCTATAAGTTGATACTATTACTATCCCATTTTACAGTTAAGAATACTAAGCAAAGGGAAGTGAAATTGCTTGCTCCAGGTCAGAGAGGTGGCAGGTGGTAAGGCTCTAAGGGGATCTGATGCAGTTTATCAGATTCTAAAATTCAGTCTTGGAAATCTTTCTCTGAGGAGAAAGGTAGGTGGAATAATACAATAAAGAAAGAACTGACAAAATTTAGCCAATTGTCAAATTGGCTTATTAACTTTTGCTTTCCATTTTGTTATTATCTCCCCAAAGTCCTGTTACACCTGCAGACATAGACGTAATCTAAGAGTAATCTGTATAATTGATCAAAAGCCAACAATAATAGGATGCACACATGTTTTGTAGATTTATCGGTTATGTTAAAAATTTTTAGAATTAGGAACTACTTGAATGTAACACCAATTATGATAGCCATGTTGAGATGAAAATCTGATTGGGTAGAATACTGAGTCCCTGAATTCTTGGCCAGTTACCAACAGCCTTCCCATTTTTGAAGGAGACGCAAAAAGAGAATACTCTTGAAAAAATGCTCAGCCTGCATCTTTACAGAGAAATTCTGACCCTGGACCGTGAAGCTGAACCATGATGACTCTGTTGGCTACGCTGGCCAGAGGTCTTCCTGAAAAACAGGTTGACCAGATGTTTTTGCTCTGCTCCCTGGCTGGGTCTACAACCTAACCAAGGTTGTAAATGGTTTCCATCTAGGCTCTTTCGAGCCTTCACAGTTCCATGGACCTCTGAACCACGCTACCACCCAGGAGCCCTTGCAAAATGGAAACAGAACAAGTCGATTGAACCCCCACTTCTCCTGTCTAGTTAATCTGGGTGGCTGTCTGTCCGGTGTGTTTATTTAAACTTGAGATTCCATTTTGTTTGATTAAATAGTTCTGAGGCTTTTTTTTCCTCTCTTTCTTCGCTGTTCTAGGTATTGGTCCTTTGAAGATAGAGACCAAAAAAGATGAAGCAAAGGAAACAGGTAATAAGAAGTGTTACCCTCGAGGCCTTTCCTGGACCACTGAAAGCACTGTGTCCTGATCACGTGACCCCTTTGCCCTTTGTCCAAGGATGTGTCGGCTCTTTCTCATTTCCATCACATGTATCTCTCTTTTCTCAGGAGAATACAAGCTCCAAGCAGGACCGTTGTCCACCTTCAGCACTTCTGTCCCCGTTCTCAGAGGAGCATCTGGTTATTGGTAAGCATTTATGTATTTGTTTGAATGAATGAATAAAACCCAGGTGCATAAATTAATGAATGAAGAGTCGTTGGGGAGGAGCAGACTTGACAAAGGAGGGCAAATTAGGGCAGGGAGCAGCGACATTTAACATGATCAAATGAAATGACTGACACAGGAGTGGAAGTGCTTTCTGCTTGGTTTGTATCATGATTTTCAAGGTCAGTATCAAGATCATGTCAGCTTGGGAAAGTGGACATTTCTTCTCCCCTTTCAAAATACCACCAGTGGGTCCACTTTAAAGGAGACTATTTCCAGGTGTAATGTGGCTGGAAAATCTCTTGGAATTGAAGGGGCAGAGTTCCTGTCCCCGCACAGTAATTTTCTAGCTATGGGATTTGGGAGCAAATCACGTAAACCTACCTGTGTAATGAGGTTTGTAACGCTTTTGCCTCCTACTGTGAAATCAGAAAGGTAAGTCCCCTTTTCGAGAAGGGAAATGTGAAACAGATCTCTCTTTCTGTCTTCCTCCATATCCATTTCCCATCTCTTCTGGCCCAGCCTTGATGAAAGGAATCATAAGTTAGGTGAGGGATTTTGCAAAGAGAGGAAACAATCCTAAGGACCTAGAAATACCTTTTTGTTCAGGTGCTCTGATGGGCAGTGTTTTTCTCTATAAACAAGACAGAGGAGGATACAGAATATTTAAAACTTGTGAATGAAATATGGGGCAATGTTCCAGGTAAAATTAAATTTGATTGTGATCAGTTCTTCTTCATAAGTTCGATAATCTCCCCACGTTTTCTCATATTCAACGTAAAGAAGGTAAATCTCAGAACCATCAAATATTTAGAGTGTACAGACTTTCTTAATTTTAATTTAGGACTCCAACCTTTATCCCAGGACTTGCGTGAATGCTAGAGCTCCAGTTTTAGAGAAAATGTGTCATAAAGCTACGCTGTAGGAGAAGTGTTCATAAAACTTTGTCTTATCACTTCTACTAATTGTCAACAGACTCACAAGTTCCCCCTCCCCACTACCCCCTTTTTCAAAAAATCTGTGAAGGAGAAAGCAGTTCAGCTTGTGTTTAAAAACTGACTCTAACATGTCGTTAGAAATCCAGTAATTGCCAGAGCCTCTTGGTCTAGGTTATCTTACAGGCTTGTTGTGAAAAACCAAGTGAAACGATGGCCTCCCAAACTGTTAACTGTACAAGATGGAAAATGCGCGTCTAAGACATTGGATGGTGCTGTGGGTGGTCTGAGCTTCAAGTGTGGGCCACGTGCAAACATCTGTCAACCACGGGCTTTGGAATAAACCAAGACACTTTCCATACATTATCACTGTCTCCTTGGAACAACCATTAGAGATTGAGCCTCTTAGATGCCCTGAATATTAGGAAGATTATGACCTAAGTTCCTACTTCGTGTGAAGTTCGAAATAATCAGTAAACAATACACATATGAATGAAAGTCCTACAAATTTCTGCTTTCCCCCTCAATTACTATTTAGACTTTTAACTTGTAAAATATCCATTTCTTGTCCCCCCCAAATTAATGCCTTTGCCGGTGCCCCAATCACGTACTTCATTTGCCTACAGGGGACTCAGGCACGGGATTTATATCGTCTTCCAGATGGTGAAAATTAAATAGTAAAATCCATCCCAAACTAGTTTCTAACCACCTTAATCCAACATTTTTTTTCAAAAGAGCTTTGGCATCTTCTAAGATTGATTTTTTTTTCCCCTGGTCCCAAGTTTGGCTAAGTGAACCATTAAGAGAGAAACAAATGGAACCACGTAACAAATTAAGACCCGCCTCAGGCACCAGCACACTTTTTTTTTTTAAACTCCCATCTGCCGAGCTCAGGTTTCTGAGGTGCAATGCGGCAGAATGTGGGTGTGCGCTTTTCTGCCCTTGTCTTCTCTCCCTGGAGATCCCTGTCCTTCCTATTTGAAGGCATGACGTGACGTGAGGACCCAGTGCCCAAGGGCGACCAGAACATGGTGCAGTCCTGGTGGCCGGGAGCCTTGTGCTCAGACCTCACCTGGGGGGCGGGTCCCCTTGATGGATGTATCTTTCTTTCCATCTCATACACCTGTTCTCAGCTGCTCCCCGCACACAGCCTGTGTCTGCTGGCCCCGCCTGGCAGCAAGTATTGATGGCGGGTGCTGGAGGACTACTTTGAGGAAGACTTAGGGAAAAGGAGTCCCTTCGTTTCTGTGGGGTAATAAAGAATCCGGTAAGGGTCCTGTTTCTGGAACGCAGGTGCATCCTGAATTTATTCAGCACCTGCCTTTGCAAAGCAGTGCACGTTTTCTCTCAAGTCTGCGCATGATGTGTCAGGGGATGTGCTGCCTTCTTCTCTATGCCAGGAGGATGCTGGGCTTCATCCTGGGGCGGTGGCGGGGGGTCTCTCTCCTCCAGCTCTGACACCTGTGAGATTCGCATTCATGGTAAATCCCTCGCACTTTCCCTCCTCAGTGTCTGGGAAAGAAGTGCTCCCTGCTGTTGACCTGGATAGGTGACTCCAGTCAGAGCTGTCTTTAAAGGCGTGGGTTAAAGGATGCTATCTCCAAGTTTGTATGATTCCAGTGGCTCCCCAGTATGGTTGGGAGAAACCCATCCAGCTCGTCTCTGGGGCCTCACCCTTGATGCTTCTCCCCAAGCTCAGTGGGCTCTGGTCCCTTTAACAAGCCGACATGTGCTGGGGTGAGATCCTTGCCTTTGTTCTTCTCTCTGTGTGGATCACTTCCTTCTAACTCTTCCCCTGGCCAGACAAGTGTCATCCCCAGTGTCACCTACCTCCACAGGGAGGCTTCTCTGATTCCCCTGATCTAAGAGCCCAAGGAGGCATCCTCTCCCATCAACCCTTTTCATTTTCGTCACAACCATTAACGGAAGCTGAAATTACCTTGTTTATCTGTTGTTTGTCTGTTTTTCCTGGAAGCATGTATGGTGATGGTTAGCAGCCTTGTCTCATGTATTGCTGTATCCTTCACAGCTCGAAGACAGTACGGCGGGTGTCCAATGAATGTGTGTGTAATGACTGCATAACAGTGAAACAACATGGCGGCCGATACTTAACTTACTGTGTCCGGTTACTGGTCCAGGTGTTTTTATATTGACTAGTTGAATTCTCACATTGGCTTTATGAGATGGATACGATTAGGACCCCCATTAACAGCCTAGGAAACTGAGGACCAGAGAGAATGACTAATTTGCCAAGTGTGTTGATGACATGACCGAATGAACTCTTCTCTGGCTTTGTGCTTTCTGGGTGGAGCTTAAAAGATCAGCCACAGACATCTTTGAATACTGTGATCTGAAAACTTGGAGCTTTTACTGTGTCATGATGGTCCCCACTCAAGTGAGAAAGCTCACAGTTCCTTTGTAGGTAATTAACAAAGCTTATTTAAGAAGTAGCATTTTTTTAAAGAAAGAATTCTCTACGTCTTCAGCACTGGAGAATCAGAGCAGGAGTTACACAGGGACACAGCACTGGGTCATCTGGCAGGTACCTGAGACTCTCAGGGACTGAAACAGTTTTCATTTTCTTTTCATTTTTTTTATCACACCCTTAAACCCTGTACAATTAAGAAAATCCCCTCAATATGTTCAGATTAATAAAGCAAGTATTTTACAAGCTGGTTTTCTTTCCTGAGTATTAGAATGAGCAATTCAGAGCAACGTGAACCCTACTGGCTTTACTGAAATATTAAAACATATAAATAATTTATATAGAGAGACTCACAGAAGATATGAAATCTTCAGAACATTACATATATAAATTATATACACTGTTTGATTCAAGAAGTTTAATGTATTAGGAAATATCCCTCTCTCCCTCCCATGCTCAGCCTACCCTGAATAGGATTTGAGGGCAGAGAGGTTAAAATGAATATGGAGAAAGGATATTCGGATTCCAGACTACCAGTTTTCGCAAAGAGTGAAACCAACCATTGTTCCCGAATCAGCCAGACGTGTTCCTTGGGAAAACAGATGCCTGTTCATGAGAGACCATAGTACAAGTGTTACTGCTGGAATAAAAATATCAAGCTAGGTTGGGTCTCATTCCCTTCCCCCACTCGACTCCTTTGTAATGGTTGTAATGCCTGCGATTCCTCCTCCAATGCTCTATTCTCCCCTAGACCTGAAGCTCAAGGAGGATGTTGCCTGGCTCACTGCCATGTCCCAGTAGCCAGAGCTATGTGATTGGAGGCTCATTACTCAACCTCTCTGTGCCTCAGGAGCCTCATTTGTCAATTGCAGGTAGTAAAAGTAGTTAACTCAAGGGTTATTACGGGGAATACACATGTCAAGGCAAGTAATACAGAAGAGTCTAGACGTCCAGAGTAAAACCCAATTTCAGTTGTTATTATTTTCAATAGACTGTTGGTTACTCGGGAGATGGGACTTCATATCTTTTGTCTGCCGATTCCCTAGTACCTATAACAATGCCTTGGACCTAACTGGCACCTTATTAGTAATTCTTGAATAAATTAATTATGAAATTAATATTTTAGACCCTTAATGATTAGATTCTAATGCAGGGCTGCAGTATGGTGAAGGAGCACCACGGCGCACACACACGCACACACTTTTATTTTTACAGTTCACAGTGTAAACTTCTGTCCAGCTATTGGGAGGACAACCGAACAGCATGAGGTGTCCTCACAGCTCGGGACATCTGGGACGGCGGGTCATTTGCCGTCAGCTCTCAGCTGTCTGTGAACTTCTGCTTCTGGCCAGTTCCCCAGATGTTTCCTGATGCTCTGAATCAGAGCCATAGCTTGCTTTCATTTTGCAGAGGGACAGTGCAACTTCTCACACGCATTGCAGCAGGGAGGTAAATAGCCTCTCACCTTAAATGCCAATTTATTGTCCCCACTCTGTCACACTTGATTAAAATACAGAGTTTGCCTCCAAGGCTGAAATTAGCTTTTCATTTTGACTGACTGCCATCCAGGTCTGAAAAATAGCAGCTCGTTTGTTTCAATATTTACCACATCCCTTCAGAAGAGGTTTACATTATGGCCAATTAGGACTTAATTGTTACCCATAACTCAAACATTTGCTGGCTGTTAACAGAGTAAAAGCCATCTTTTTTTTTTACTATCCTGACTTCCATAACCCTTGGACTCTTGAAACACAGACTGGAGGATAACCTCTTTTCCCTTAAGATGGGACTGGTGGAGAACGTAATGGTCCTTTCTGCTCTTTGCTTCTGGAAGTGGCTGGAGGCAGGCGTTAATTGTCCAGTTCAATGGAAGGTGGGTGAGCCCGGGTGTCAGGCATCTGTTGTTTTTACCTCTCTGATCTGCATTTCCCAGTCTCCTGCCAGCAGAAATCTCATTTGGTTTTGGAGACATTCTCTGCTGCTTGGATTACACCCTCCTCCCAGCTGGGCTTCCGGCTTCTGCCACTGGCCCCCACCGTATCCTCAGTGCAGCAAAGCAGAGCGATCCTTTTAAAATATGTCCAATCACGTGATTCCTCTGTTGCAAAGCCTGCAACACCTGCTTGTCTCACTCAGGATTAGGGCCAGTGCAGTGACTCGCGGGGCCCTGTGAGCCTCCATGCCCGGCACATCCCGTGACACTTGCTTGATTTGACATAGTATATATTTATTTGTTTATTGTCTGTCTCCTTTTTTGAGGATATAAGTTCCAGGGC